TCCCACAGTTGTCTCCCCTACGCTCCCTGGCTATCTGCAGGCAGAAGAACTGGTGTTGACATGACACCAAGGTAGGAGCCCTGGCTGCTGCAGTCACAACCATCACCGATACATTTCCAATGGCTCTGGAGAAACATAAGAGCAGCAGGAGGCAGTGGGGTGTCTCTCCACTGCAGGAATGGGCATGTAGAGCCTGAGCAAAGCCAAGTTAGGGAGGTGCCTATGGCTCAAAGGAGTAGGGGCGCTGGCCCCATATGCCGGAGGTGGCGGATTCAAACCCAGCCCCAGCCAAAAAAAAAGATTAATCTTCCACCCTCTGAAGGGGCCAGCAAAAAGTTGCAGAAAAGGAACAAAGGAAGTGAGACATTTATTTTTTACCTTAAGTTTTCATTTTATTTATTTTGTTTCATTTTATTTAATTTCACTTTGTTTTATTTATTTATGTTGAGACAGTCTCACCCTGTCACCCAGGACAGAGTGCTGTGGCATCATAGCTCACAGCAACCTCAAACTCTTGGGCTTGAGCAATCCTCTTGCCTCAGCCTCCCAAGTAACTGGGACTATAGGCGCCCACTACGATGCCCAGCTAGTTTTTCTATTTTTAGTAGAGATGGGTCTCAATTTTGCTCAGGTTAGTCTTGAACTTTTGAACTCAAGCAATCTGCTTGCCTCGACCTCCCAGAGTGGTAGGATTATAGGTGTGAGCCACGGCTCCCGGGCTGGAGTTTAATTTTAAATCTCTGCCTTTGTCTCACTCTCAGTTCCTAGCTTTCTTTTCATAGAACATAACTATTGGAACAGCTATCTCTTGTTCCATTTCTTTTCTTTTCTTTGTTTTTTTTTTTTTTTAGGGAGATTCTTAAGCTGTTGCCCTGGGTAGAGTACCATGGCATCATAGCTCACAGTAACCTCCAACTCAGGCTCAAGCAACTCTGTTGCCTCAGGTTTTCTATTTTTAGGAGAGATAGGGTCTTGCTTTTGCTCAGGCTGGTCTCAAACTTGTGAGCTCAAGCAATCCACCTGCCTCAGCCTCCCAGAGTGCTAGGATTACCAGCATGAGCCACCACACCCAGCCTCTCGTTCCATTTCTTCTGGGGGAATTTCATCCAATCTATGGAGACATTTCCCAGCAAGAGACCATCTTTTGTAAATTACCCTAAGAGAGGAGCTTCCCAGGAGAATTTTAGGGTTATCTGCCATTTGCTCACCCTAGAGACCAACTGGACCTGGAATCTGTGTCTTGTTAATAGCTGAGTTGGGCCTCAGTTTTCCCCACTAAAAATGGGTCCTAACCTTCTCTTGTCTTTCAGATCTAGAAACTAGATTAGGTAAAAGACCTTGGAAAATATCCCAGAACATTTTGAAACCTTCTGTGAAGTTCTTTGCTTTCACTTAAAGAATCTTATGCCAAAGGAATTAAGTGATAAGGTTTAGATGGGAAAGAACTCTAAAATGAAGAAGGAATGAAAGTTTAAGAGAGTCTCATGGGACAGATGAGACTAGTAAGGTGAAGGCCATGGTGAGGAGATGGTTGACAAGACCATCTATGGAGACCTGTTCAGTGTTGGGCAGGCAGAGAGGTGTGGACAGAGCCAAGAAGGACTGGGCACTCACTGCTGCCCAGCCCTGCTTCTGGGGTCCAAACCACGTCGCTCTCCCTTTCTAGGCAACTCCAGACAATGAGGAGCTGGAAGCTGGAGATGACCAGAGGGGAAGATCTGACGTGCATGGTGTTATGCTGAGTTGCACATGCTGGGGTCCCACAGGGGTTCTGGGTGTATGGGAATAGCTCAATTGCTCACTTGTTGCTAACTATGTGGAAATGTTTTTGACACTGAGAGGAGGTGCGATGTTAGTGTTAAAGCTGTAAGTACTTGGAGAGAGCTACAGATCTGATTCCTTCCCAGAGTAAATCTCTGATGCTGTGCTGGCAGCTTTGCTGAACACATGGGGTGATGTATACAGCTATGCCACAATGTTCTGGGCAGCAAGAGTCACACTTAAGCCACACCGTGGGTGAAAAGGACCATGACATCATGTTGACTGGAGTGCTTCTAAGAAATGGTTAACCAGGGAGGGCAAAGTTAAGAGCTGATGTTACCAAGAGGGTGAGCTTAGCTGGGACCTTCTACCAGGAACAGACAGCCATGAATAGCATCATTCTCATTCCTCCCACGGAGCGGATATGTCTAATGTTCTTCACAGGTGTTTTGGCTGCACAGATGGGACATATATGATGATGCCACAGAATTTTTCTTTCTTTTTGACACAGAGTCTGTCTCTCTGCTGCCCAGGCTACAGTGCCATGAGTCATCCCAGCTCACAGCAACCTCAAACTCCTGGACTCAAGCAATCCTCCTGCCTCAGCCTCTCGATCTGCTGGGACTATAGGCACCCACCACCATGACCTGCTAATTTATTTTTAGTAGAGATGGGGTCTCCCTCCTGCTCCAGCTGATCTCTGCCTCCTGATCTGAAATGATCCCCCTGCCTCAGCCTCCCAAGGGTGCTAGAATTACAGGTGTGAGCCACTGTGCCTGACAAGGCCATAGAATCTTAAGTAACCCAAGCTGTGTTTGATCAAGACCCAAGTGAACAGAATGAAATAGGGAAATTCTGGGCGATAAGAGTGACAAGACTGATGAGGTCAGCCTTTTAATTGCTGTTTGATTCATCAAACATTCACAGGTCCCTACAATATGCCATACTTGGGTTGACACTGGGTAA